AAAATTTTTATTTGAAAAACCGTTGCCCCGCACTTGGGTTTTCTCCTGTGTCGTGGTTGCGTTAACAAACATACAATTTCGCATACACAACACACCACAAGAGTTGTTCCGTGCAGACATCGAACCCGCGACATGTTGCGCGGCCTCCAGTCGCCCAGCCACCGCGCAAACCGTGCAGTATTTAATTATTAATGTTAATTAATTAAAGATATTATTTAAAATTCAGCAGCAACAGTAATAACTCTGACACAAGATAAGAAAAGCGGCGAGGCTTAGTAATTAAATTTCTACGAGTGGCATATAAAAGTGTGACTATTTAAACAATTGCGGTTTCGATGAACATTAGACAGGTAACGTGCTAGCGTTAAATAATGTAACAGAAACACTCACTGCTCGTTAATACCTAGAGACGGTCTGCGCTCCACGAGAGCGTGACGCTCAAACAAAATATACCATTACCGGCTAGACCACTTGTTTTTATTTACTATCCGTTATTTTCCTCCGTTGTACTCAAACCCGCTCATTGAAACAGAAAATAGAAAAATGTCTTTACGAAATCTTTCCGATCCAGTCACCAGTATAAATACCTATATAACAGCTGTAATCGACCCGTATATAAGCACTTATTAAATAGTGAATTATTCAGGCCGTGACTATAGAACGCCACATTTCACTTTCTTATAAAAGTTCAACGAATTGTTGTAGTTTACATGACCCAGATCCTTGGCCACCTGCTTTTGGTTAAGTAAATATTTTCCAAGGGACATAAATTGTGGAGGTTTCCACCGCTTCCGGCACAAATATGTATGTTACGTCTAGCTTATTGCACGAATGCGAGCTACTACTATTTATGTTGTAAGCTAGTTCCAAGCTATTTCTGTTTCAAGACCACTAACTCTAAAATTAAATCAGGGTTTTAAGTTTTCCAAATTTTAGTGTCTAAGTGTAAGTAGTTAAGTCTTACCTACGAATAAATCACCTAGTTAGTCCACCTAATCAGTAACGATTAATTTCACGGCAAAAAATTGATACAAATGATCGCGACCCTATCGCGGCCTTATAGAAACACGTGTAATTAACTTTCTTAAAACTAAAATTCTTTATTTTCCCCACTAACAAAGCTTTGCGTGTCGTTTGTGAATTGGGACAAAACAAGTTGAGCCTATACGTTCTCATTCTTAGACCGCCACCGCAAACAGTTTGAACCTATTAGAGTAAATAGAAATACGTGCCATAAGAACAATGCTATTGTTTCATACAAAATTACAAAAACAAACGAAAGTGATCTGCAGTGATATACCAGCAGTAGTGCTCCGTGTTTACGTAATAAAACAGTTAACATTATTAAAATCTCGGAAGTAAATAAGTTATCTGCCCATCTGCGTATATTATGCGGAGACGAATAGACGATACGGATACTTACCCTAATGAGAGTAATGGTCGTTATTTATTTAAGTGTGCATTATAAACACGTAAGCTTAAAATGTTGTAAACGCCGCTTCTTTGAATTACCTAGTAAGCCATAACTATAAAGCAATTGACTTTTCAAATCTCAATTTTTATTATCGCAGTAAACTGAAAATATCGGTGTTGCGTGCCCTGTGCACTAAAGCCACGATGGTTTACAACACTAGTTCACTATAACATTATATTATGCAGCTCGCATGAATGACTTACCGTTTTCAGCGTGCCCTATCGATAAAACTAAAAACCCTTTTCACATAAAGGGGACGGTTTTTCATATATCTTTTCCAAAAAAAGTTGAACAGTTAATTCAAAGACGGCTGTAGACATGGACGGTAGCTATCAAGTTTTTGTTGCCAATAAAAATAGAAAGTATTATAGATTGTGTATAGATAGATAGTTTGTTACGTCTGGTTTTATTTTGTGTTAACGTAATTATTGTGTTTAATGAATATTGTGCAAACAACAGTTTTTGTTGTTTTCAGAGGAAATGTCCCACCTCTACTTGCCGTGGGGCTCCGGCGAACGGTATACAAATCGCTTGCAAGTGCGGAATCAATTTGCTAGTACATTGGAGCTACATAAGCAGTCATCCTACGATTATCAGGAGCCAGTGCAGCGTCAAAGGAGTCCGAGTTTGCCGCCTATACATAACATTGAGGAGAGATCTATAAAAGATGACAGAAGAAACACAGTGCTTAACCGGAATATGACGAGTGCGAAACGATTCTCGTTTTATGACGAAGACGGAGAAGGCGATACTTCTGGTTACGGCAGTGAAACATTGAACCATATGAACAGGAGCGGGCACAGAGCCATTCACGAAGCCAATAACCACACTCCTGTTGTGGCGTGGCAACAAGAAGGAAAAGACGACAGGTAAGACTTTTTCACCTCGATTGTCTACGTCGAAAAGTTATGGATGTGGCCCAGTCGCGTTTTAACTTCCCATGCAACTTACGTTTACTTATTGTTTTATATTTTGCAACATTTAATGCATTTTTTAAGTGCTAGTAGTCACGCATGTAATGAATCCGTTTAAAATTATTGCGGAAAATTGGCCTCCATAATAATTGCGCAACTGAGATATGCGCCTGTTACTCGCAGCTGTTTAATATCGACATAGCTTAATTATACCCAAAACCCAAAATACCTAATATTTGAGACATAACCTGCTTTATATTACCTATTACCTTCTTTCTAGTTACATATTTTGTTAGCATTTTAGTGGCTAAAAATATAAATATAGCTCCCAAATAGAAACAACAATATCTAAGTGTAAAGATATTGCAATACCCGTTACTCCGATCTTGCAATCGTACTTAGATAATTTTATTAAAAAGAATTTGTAATGTAAGACTTCAAATCGTATTAAATATCCCGAAATAACAAAAAAGTGCTTAACATCAAGTCTAGTATCAAATTAAGCAACAGTCGACTATCATACTACCCATCGCCTGCGGCTCCGTCCGCGTCAATGTCTATTTTACACTTCTTCAAGATTAAAAAAAAAATTATCAACGCACTACCCCTCTAGCTGGACTTCCACGAATAATTCAAGACCTAAAGACATATACTTACGATAAAACGAAACGTTTGTTTTTTATACATAGGTAGGTATAGATACGTATTAATTATCATACTTATAGGTAGGTATTGGTGTCGCAGTCGCGAAAATATTATCTGTGTGAGTAGAATCTTGTGTTCTATTCTTTCTCAAACTATTTTCTGAGGATTTTTATGATATAACTACCTACTTAGGTAGGTACCTTAAATTACTAAAATGGCTTAATGTCTGGAGTTTTTTGGAGAGTAGAATTAGTTAATAATTGTTTTAACATCCCCATCTTTACTTGCATGCTAGAATATACATTTCTGCAAGCTATCTATAGCAAAAAAAACAGCTATAGATATGGGCATTCATCGAAAATCTACAATTATCAATACCATATAAATAATATACAATTATAGGTAGGTAGGTCTATCATGAAATTATGTATTGACTAAGTAGTAAGTAGGTATATCGTGATAGCATATTAGTAGGTAAATCACATTGACATCCCAAAGAGATGACGAGGCCTGTTTAAGAATCTCAGCCAACATTGTTAAAATGACACACTATTTTTACTCTTAATATAACGGCATAGCGTGAATATATCTCATATGAATGTGAGCAAGTGAAATCATCAAATCAATACAACGTTAGGTATTCTGTCGCCCGCAATTTTGCTCAATTATCAGTCATTGAGACGATTACATTCTAATAGTAGACTCAGCAGAAATAAGCCTTGTGTGATTTACTTAAGTAGTGCTTTATTAATGAATATAAATCATGTTCTGTCGTCATAATTATAAACATTTTCACGTTGTTTTGATAAAAAGTTCAAGAGATTTAAAATACTACTAGCTACTCTCCAGCGGTTTTACCCCTGCTCGGCTACAGATCGTAGCGTGATGTTTTATAGCCTTCCTCGATAAATAGTTTGTCTATTTATCTCTATATTATATAATTAAATATAAATTAAAAATAAACCCCGACACCAAAAGATAAGGTTTCATCCGTTCAGGAGCTATGATGCCACAGACACACAGAAAGACACGTCAAATTTATTAAAGGTTTTGTTTTTTGTGACGTATACAAGTCATAACCTTTCATTTGATACCCCACTTGAGCATATTTGCAGACATTCGGTTTTCCTTCCCCACTTTAACCCCATAATTTTTAAAAGGCTCAATCGATTTTCATCAAACATGTCTAAGAACACTCGCCCGTAAAACACCTGTAATACCTACAAAAAGAACTAAATTGAAACCGGTTCATCCGTTCAGGAGCTATGATGTTACAGACAGACAGACAGACACGTCAAACTTATAACACCCCTCTTTTTGCGTCGGGGGTTAAAAATAAAAATATAATATAATATAATATAAATAATAGTACCTATAGATAGTATAGATTAAAAAGATTTTCGTTTTTTATTTGTAGGTAATAGGTACTTGTATCGATTTAAAACATTTAGTTTCCTACAAAAACAATATTTTCCTCTATCACGTTTGCTATAGGACTAGAGATTCCAGTGGCGCTAAGTCTGGCTTGTCGGATGGGGCGTGGTCAGCCCGTAGCCCACGGACGTCGGAAGAGGGTCGACTTCGATGGGGCGACCGCGGCGTCGCTACAGGCAGGCTCTGGGAACCTACTGCACCTAATGCTAGACTGCCCCAGGTAATATAATCGTAATTACTGAATTATAACCTGGTTTTTACTCAATGACCATTTTTATTAGGTATCTATAAACCTACATAGTTATGTGCCACTAAAATTTTAATAATAAGATAAATTAGGTACTAAGATTGCTGTAGTATGTGCAACTGCTCTGATTTTTAATTGTATATCATATTTGTAGCTATGTGAGAAAACAAGCTTCTCGCAAAGTACAAGATTGATCTGCCTAGATCTAAGCTCAATTTTCGACCCCTAACCTTTACGGTAGGTACGTTTCGTGCCTTCGACCAATACAAAAAAGACAGGAATATTAATAGCCCAATCAAATGAATAGTCGATGCACTGATGTCTTATACTTAATACTGCTTGATAATGTCATGGTGATTCCAATCTAATGGGTTTTATGTAAAGGGGAAATACTTAGATTATTGTTTTAAATGACTATAACAACAATTTATTTTGTAGATGCCCAATCAAAAGAAAGGCACGCCATCTTGGGTCGAACGCGGATTAAATATGATAGATAACACAGCGGAGGTTCTTGTTATTGACCAAAGAAGTTCCAGTAACAGCACTGGAATAGATTGCGATAGATCTTCATGCAATGGAAGTGACGAAGGAAGGTAAGTAATCCACATAAAAAAATTGGATGTCTTACAATGATGCTGGTAAAAGTACAAATAATTTTCTTTTCAGGACGTTTTTAAGAGGACAAAATGTCCCTATCGAACCCGAAATCAAAGCTCAGCGCGAAAACAAACGCTTAAAAGCATTAGAATTGCAATCAGCGATACTGAATCAACTAGAAGACAGAGAGAAACGGCGTCAAGAAGAAAGAGAACGGCAGCTTAGAGAAGAAAGATTAGAAGAACTTCGCATACAAAGACAGCAGGAAGAAGACAGACTACGATTAGAGGAAGAACGAAGAAAATTAGAAGAAAAACAACTGATGGAGCAAAAGAAATTAGATACATTAAAAAGAGCTCTGGAAGACGCTGAAAGAAAAGCTAAGCTGGAAAAAGAGAAGAGATTTAGTTTCCATAAGAGAAATGCAAATACAAATGTAGATAATGTTCCTAAAACTAAAGTAGAAGAAACTGCATCACTAACTGAAACTACGCCGCGCGTAGAACCTACTAGTCCTACAAAAACGAGTAGAACATATGACATTCATTCTGCAAAAAGTCAAAAAAGGGAATGTAACTCCCATCAAACGACAGAATTCAATTCACCACGATCAGTTGGCCCAGGGAATCTTAATTTGTTTATTCATAGCGTACCTCCATTAGCTTTAGCGGATGGACAATTTAACATAGTGCCGATTGGGTTAAGTGGTGCTAATGAAGTTATAAACACCCAGCCAAATAATATACAATTAGCAGTTTTAGTACCTCAGAATGTGGCCAACAATTTGTATAGCGTTTCATTAAACAATAATGTCAATGAATTAACAGACATGGCAAAATTATTAACACCAAATAAGTACCGGACACTGAGAATGAAAGATGCAGCAACTCAAACCGATTCAATATTTAAATCGACAACTGATAAAATTATAGAAACCGAAGAATTAGAAAGAAACATCGATAGAGATTATCCCAACATTGACGAAAATGCACCACAGGACAGTCACCAAAACACATTGAAAAAAGATAGACGATTTAGGTCTGAGGAGAGGTATAAAAAAGATTTGGAAAATCGTCCAAAGTGGGGCGTTAACAGACCTGCAGCTCAATACAAGAAACAAAGTGAAAAAGATCCATTCTATAGCCAAAAGAGAAAGATGCGTCAAAAATACAGACCTCAAGCAAGACAATACTTATCACATTCTAGTGACGATAGTCGTTCTCCAAGCCCACCAACAAGATCGGAAAAAACAATCGAGAATGGCAATAAAAACAGAAACTCATTAAGCCAATCTTACTGGCGAAATAAACGGTCTAGTCAAGATTTATCAAAATCTTTAAATGTATCGGAGGTAACAAACCATTTACAGCCCGATTTTAATCCTTTGGCACAATTAACAAGTAACGAAATTACAGAAACAAAAAAATCACCTAAAGCATCACCAATGAAAAGAATGACCTTATCGCAGAAGTTTATTAACGACAAATATGGGAACAGAAAATTATGGATAGACGACCTTAATGAGAGAAATGGAAAATGTAATCAGTTTGACGCTGAAAACAGAAAGAAAATTATAGACCAAATAAATACCGCTAAAAGAGAACTTTTTGATAAACAGGAAGAACAAGAAAATTATGTAAAAACCAAATTTTAGATTTAGTTTTCTTTACGGCACAATATGGCTAGTCATGCAACACGTAGTGAAAAATTAGGTTACTTACGAGATACCATCGATTCAACGGTTCGGTTTCCTAGTAAACGAAGAAGAGCATTTAGTTGGATCGATGCTTCCTTTAGTAACAAGTTAGTTGTATCGCACACCGTAACCTAAGCAAATATGTCTAAAATAGATGAACTTTTTGATAAAAAGAAAGATGAGGCTCCCATGTTGGACTTGTCTAAAACAGTGATAAATACTGCTGAAGAATATAGAGCCGTTTTAGATAAAGTACCAGATTTTAAAACTCGACCAGAAAAGGTAACTTTCTTATAACCAACAATTTATTTGTGCCAACGATTTACTATAAATGAATAATTTCAACCAAATCCTCTAGGTAAGATCAGAAGATGTAAAAATCAAAGAAGATAATAAGACCAAAACTCCTCGAAAAGAAATAAAGGCCTACGAAACATTAGGAACGAGAGGATATGAGGAGAAACATTTTACGTTCATGGATCCTATACCGGTAGAAATGAAAGGACTGAAATTCGAAGAGTTATGTATTGTCCCTATTGAGTGGCGGATGCTTACTTCTATCAGACCGAAGTTGAAAATGGACGAAGAATTTTTTAACCGGTGAGTTAACTATATTTTTATATACTTATACCTATATGTATCACATTAACCTTCATCTTAACACTTGAATAGTACGAAAATTTCGATTTTAACCGTTTTGTAAACTTGTTTTCAGGTTAGTAGAACTAGGCAAGTCCGAGCTTAAAACAAAAGCAAAAGATAAAAGAGATTACGCTAAAAACTTAATGTTCCGAAAAACTAAAAATCGTTCAGGAGTAACCGAAACGCGAATAATATCTTGCGCGGAATGCGGTGAAGAATACTGCAATGGTAAGTTGGCGTAAAAGTTTTTGGCCTAAGTACATTTTGAAGGTTTACAATGCAAAATGACTACTTACATAATGATTCTCCCCGCTTTGGGTGAGGCGAGAGTATGTGTCCACTCTTACCGACTAAAACTAATTCGGCCCTTCTCAAGTCTCCGTAAGCACCAGCGTCAGGCGGAAGGTGAGGACGCTTGTCGTCTCTCCAGCTACTCCTCAAAATTGGATCTCACCGCGGCGGTAACAGTGAGTTTGACTCTTGATTGAGGAAATCGCTGTTTCCACTCCACCGTGAGGGGTTAAAGCATGTGGATGTGGTGCAAAAAATTAATTAACTATTACAATTTAATGTTACAATAATGGTAACACAGACAGGCCCAAAAGGGCCAGTGTTCAGTCGGGATTGCAGGTACAAGGGCAATTAAGTACCGCGACTCGGAGTAAGAGAAGGAAAAGGTTGGATTTAAGTCTATAACCATATGTTTGTAACGCGCTTACGCCCCAACTAGGGCAAAAAAACGCGCACGGTTTCACCCGCTGCTCGGCTCCATTTGATCGTAGCTAGATGTTTTATAGCCTATAGCATTCAGGAACACTTTAGCTATCTATCAGTGAAAGAGTTTTAGCAATCCGACCAGCGGTTCCAATGATTACCCCCTACATACAAATTTACAAATTTTACCTCTTTATAACGTTAGTACTAATTTATAATGAAATTAGATTTACTCAGTTGAAACATTATGTTTCTAGGTAAAATGTGCGCGATCACAAACTACGACATGTTTGCTCGTTTGAAAGTAGAAGTGGAAACGAAATCCTCACGAGGACAGGCGGCACCTACGCAGGGCCTCGGCAAAATGAAGAAACTTCGGCGGCGCCCAAAACGTAAGCCGCGCAGTAAAAGTGCAGCACCCGAACAGAGCAAGGCGAATAGAAATAAGTCGGGAGCTAAAAGTGATTCTGAACTTTAACCTTGCTCCACAAATATTCCCACCATCTTGTTCAGACTAATTTCCACTTCTAATGTATCTAAATACAAGTTTTAGAAATAATAATCACTTACCTCGCTGATTATTAGATATTGCAGGAATGTTTCTTGACTTTTTTACTCCTGATGAGTCCCTTCATTTTATAAACATTTTATCATTTCTTCATAAAGCTAAAGCTCATACATATAATTATAAGATCCAGGTCCTTAAAGTGAGGCTATTATAATATGTAAATACAGTTTTTTTTTCATTTTGCTATTTATATATAGGTAACTGTTATTAGGCATTGTAATTCGAAGTCCTGCCAAGTTAACACTTGCTAAAATACAACATATCATTTGTACCTAAATAATGCTTCTCTTTTTAGGTCTGGTAAACTATTTATAACTTTTATAAGTGCGACCAAAAATTCTGGCCAAGTGTCAAGTTCGTAGACAAATAAACTCGAACTACCTTTCCTGTGTTCTATTTCTAGATAATCCAACACATAACTAACTATACTTACTGTTCACTGTATTTTTAATGTTTATTGATACTAAGGAAACCGACTGGTAATTAATTTTTATGCAGATTAAATATCACCTGCGCTTTTATAAACTAGTCGATATGAATCACTGTTTTATATTCCCAATTAATAATATTATAAGTCTAGCTATAAGACAACATTGTATACTTACTTGTACTTTGAATCTCAATTTTGTACTGGTAATTTTATTATACGATTATTATGTGAAGCACTATCTGCTATTTTATTTACCTTCTAGCGACCCGCTCTGTCTTCGCACGGTTGCAATACTGATAGCTGATACACCACTATTTAATGGATGTTATTACTTACATCAATTAATATCATAGTATCTTTTTAAACAAAGCATCAAAATCAGTTGCGTAGTTATTAAAGATCTAAGAATACATAGGGATATAAAGGGCGACTTTGTTGTAATACTACGTAGTGATAATAAAAAGCCTGTTTACGAGGGGAAAAGTACTTGAATTTTGGTAGGCTGATAAAAAATAAAATTGTATCAATATCACTCTTTATTGATTTAAAAAAATATTTATATTACACATTCATTATATTAATTACTTTAGAGCCTATAAAACAACAACATTATCAAGATACAGTGTCTCTATACGTTGGCATTGTCCACACCTGACTCGCGCAGGCGCGGGATCCCGTCACTACAAACTACTTTATGAATATGAAGCCAAAAATATCTTTTACATCATTATAGTTATACCTATATCGATATACGAATTTAATTCATCTTCGACAGCTCACTAGATGATAAATTCTTATAAACGTAGGCCCTAAGTACAGAATAGAATTAGACTAAAAGGAAACGCAAAAAGATATGGAACCACAACTGGAAAAAAATCTCCTACGATATGCTTAAATATAGAATAACAAAATGAATGGTAAATTCAAGTGCTAGAGAAGTCGTAGTAAGAACACTAACTTCTAGCTATTGCAATGAAATACTACAGACCCTTGCCCTGGCACTAGTAGATATCACAAGGTAATATCAACAACATGCAAAATAAATAAATTATACAGGTAGATGAAATGGAGATACAAGATCACTCGCGAGATATAATTTCATTTAGATACATCGACATATACGTCATGAACGCTGTAAGTATGTATGTGCCAATGAAACATTTCACAGCCCATGTCCAAGACAAATGAGTACTGAGACTATGATTCTTGTGTTTACACAGATTTTTGTCTTTGTTAGAAACGAATTTCTAAACACATTGGAACATTCTCGCTTTTTAACCTATTTTTTAAATGTAATAATAAATTATTTGCATTCAAAGACATTTCAAATTTCTCAATGATTGTTTAGCAGCGCTACACTAGAATTATTCTTAAAACTAGGTTTACAAAATAGGAATCTGCAATAAAATAGTAATTGTTACATATTGTAACAATTAGTGACTGCTATATTTTACAATAGGATATAAATATTTGCTTCAACATCAGTAATATGGATATGTAATATTGTTGTATTCAATGACATCATAATTAAGGAATCAAATCGTGTTGATTGTGCTAAGGTTTAGAATAAGCACAATATGTCCGGACGGAAGATATCCACAATATCTAAATATGTATATATATGTAACAGAATAATTAATATTATATTAGTCTACTACGACCCAGAAACATAAACCAATTAATCATTTATAATTTAAATATAATTACATAACACTTTACGACGTAAAACCGCGTATTTACTCGGATTGGTCCAATTCAGGTCTCATCACATATTTTGTCATGGGTAAATCACAACACTGATTATTGACATAAAATAATTAGTTGGTGTTCAACTAAATTACATAAACGAGATGACATCGTCAAAGTAATTTTACATTAAAATATTTAGCAGGAATGATATCTATTGACAATTATTACGGAAGGATGAAATGCACACAAATGGAATGAAAGGAGAAAAGACTTATTTACTACAAGCACCAGAAGATCTCAAATATTATTACCGGATATACAGTTCTACAACTAGAGGTATAATAAGTATAGGTCTACGTAAGTATGGAAATAGATAAAGTATAATACAAGACACGCGCGCGATGGAAGTCTTAGTTAATAATTTTAATAAACAATATGTGGCAAATTGTCTACGTAAAAAACTTATGAGAGTATAGCTACTGAATATTTTTTGTAAACAGAATAATTTCGTTGTAAATTGGATATAGTGCCTAAGTATCGCGCGCGCAGGTAACAACGATTTTCCTCGGAATACATACCCCCGATTTATTTAATCGTATTCCTCACTTAGTAACGAAGTAGATACATAACACGAAAAACATATTGCAGATTCCCAAAATTCACATTAAAGTTCTCGAAATACATAATGAATTATGACTCATAAAAAAATATTATGCTCTATTATTGAAAACAATAATTAAATTATTATGAAAAACAAGTCAACGAGCTAAATGTACAATAAAATATGAAACTAAAAACATGGACGAAAGTTAACTGAATGTGTAAGAAAGTTAAGGTATTAAAACTTAAAATATAAACAACTTTCACACCCTGTAAAACTACAACCCTGAACTGAGTGGTAATTTAGACTTTAACTTGAGGTTTGTATGAATGGCAACAGAATAGCATATTCACTTCGAGTATGTTAGCAGCAACAGGTATAATTTTATCAGGGGTGAGTGGCATTGAGCTAGCAACGGGGCGGAGCGCCCAGCTGGACCCTGTTTCTATAACTCACCCTTCACTGGTCTTTGCGAGCCTTCTTTTTGCTCTTCTTGGACACTTTCGCGTCGGTCCATGTGTCTAAAACCATAGAAAAAATTCATCAAACATTATTGAAATCAACTTATTACATAACAATATTTATGAAGTACTTGTTATGCAATGAAATAGAATTTTAAGTGCGACTAAGGAAGTCTTTAGGAAAGTATTCTTACTGCTTCTACTAAACACACAAACACAAACACATCATACCAACATACCAACATCATATCAACAAAAATATAATTTCTTAGTGACTTAAAAGTAAATGTAATTAGTATATAAATGTGATTTGTTATTATTTTATAAATTTGATAAACATACCGCCTAACTCATCAAAGGCCAACGCATTTTGGCTGTCTTGTTTCTCAGAGTCGGAATTGTCCTTCTCCACAGAATCTTGCTTCGGGACACTCTTAGTTGCTGAAATCTGGAAACAAGGATTCATTTTGCATTATAAATAATTTTAATACAAATCAAAATTAATTGAATCATTAGGTTTAAACATTCATCTAAAGTAACTATAGTTACTTGGATATCAATCCAAATAAGGATCCTTGTAATAATTATTTGTTATATTGTTACTCATAATGTCATGCAAAAGTCATATATACATTTAGCTGACCTTTACCCATTACTTGAAAGCATAAGTGTGTTATGATATTGAGTTATATATTCATGTTAATCAATTACTTACTACTATTGTTTGAACAAATCTATAACTTAAATAATAAGGTAACAATGGACCTGTAATCTAACTACAATATGACTATTGAAGCATGATTTATTGGTTATTATATTATGTGATAGTGTCTTACCTCTACAGATTTCTTCCTGATTTGCTTTTCTTTGTTTTCTTTCTTCTTGTTGCTTCGGAGATCTTTAACATCAGTCAGTTCCTCAACTTCAGGGGATTCATCTTCCACACCACCAAGAGCAGCCTGCTCACGACGCTCTGCCTATTGAGAATATTTATTCATTTCATTAATTATCACTTAGGCATTTCACATAATGTTTTTATGATATCATTACAATAAACCTTTATGAAGAATAATTTGAAAATGTAAGCTTAATTAAATACCTCTTTCAGTACACGCTGGAGTTCTTCTACTTGAGCTTGTAGGGCACGGGCTGCATCCTCGTCCACATGTGGGCCTTCAGCACTTATAACCTTGATAGTCTCTTCAACAGGCTCCTCCACAGGTCGAGCAGCCTCAACATCAGCATCTTTCACCTTTTTATTTTTCTTAGCAGGGCTTTCCTTCTTCTTGTCCTTGTCCTCAACAGGCTTACGTTCCTTCTTTTTGTCACTTTTTTTTGGCACTTCTTGCCAGCCTCCATCATCAAAATCAGCAGGCTTCTCAACTTCAACTACAATCTTGTTCTTTTTGCCCTTCTTGGCATCACCGGCTCCTATTTCCTTCTTCACGGGTTTGGGCTCAGTGGGTCTTTCCTTGGGCTTGGGCTTCTCTACTTCTTTCACTTTTTCCTCCTTCTTCTCCTTACTTGGAGACTTTTTGGAGTTCTCAGACTTAGTCTTCACATCATCGGTCACGACACGGTTGGGTGAAGACTTCTATAAAATTAAAATAAATAACTGTTAGTTGATGTTTCTGTTTACACCATATTAGTTTCCTGAAAGGCAGATTCATAAATTAAAAGTTATTGGGGTTTTATTGAACGCCTTATGGGTAAATAGAATTGATGTTTGTAGCTTTAATTTTGTATCTCCCGGCTTACAGGTTAAAAATAAAATGAGCACGCAATGATGACAACGGCGGGAGCGCATAACATATTGTTTGGACTCACCTTGTCCTTCTTTTTGTTCTTCTTGTTGGACGATTTTCTGTCGTCCAAAACCAGAGGCAGTTTATCAAACTGCGGCTGTTCTGCTGAGCGGAACCCGAATACGAATACAAGAGCTGCGCATACTAAAACAACAGCCACAGCCGCAGCGGTGAACATAAACTGCGTGTTAGTCACTTGACTCAAAATTTCCATCTTAAGCCTCTAAATGGAAAACCGTCAAAAATTTATAGTTCACATATAAAGTTGTCGATAAGGTATGATACTGTAGAACAAATTAATTCCAAAGTGATAAAAGCAGACACGGAGACATGATGACGCGGCTGTGACGTGCCAAAAATTGCGATTTAGAAGTAACTGTGTTGCCAATTATTTTAATTTATACTGAAAAATCGAAAATAACTTTACAAAATTGTAAGACAAAAGTAAGTCTTAACCTTAGTTTTTCTCTTTTGAATATATAATTAAGGTGAAAGTCTCAAACAAAAATACCCATTGCTAAATAAAAATATTTTAATCATTGAAAGGATCATTGTCTCGTTTTAATGTTATGTATGTGTTTCCATGTTGAATTATAATTTTATACACTTGGTTACGCAGAAGCTGTTCATTACCTTTAGATGCATAAATTAATTCTCCTATACTAAACTTGTACTTGTGATTAGTTGAGATCGAGTGGTGTGTACTCTTAATTTATAATCTATAATAACAAGTGGACATGCCTATGATGCCTGGTCTTCTGACATTGACAAGAGTGACATGTGCTAACAGTGGTTATTTTGTTTTGTACACTTTATAACCTTAAAATTTTACTCAACTCTATTCTAAAAAGCACATTGTACCCATAATTTGAAGTGTTTTATAATTAAAAGATGGGAAATAACTACAAAAAGAAGAACAAAAATAAAAAGAAAAGGTTAGAAAGAGCTAAAAATGCTGCAAATGAACAACATGAAGAACAGGTGCAACAAGTGGAGGATCAAGGAAATGAATCAGGTGGTGAAAATGAAGTCGACTTTTCAAGTCCAAAGAAAAGGCAGCACGAAGTTGAGGATGACTCGGATGTTGAGGATAAGCCTCAAAGAAAAAAAAAGAAGAAGCAACCTATACAAATGGACTCTACAGATAAAAAGGGGAAAAAATCTATTCGACAAATGAAGAGGGAAAAGTTTGCTGCACGGCAAGCCGAAGCACAATCCGCAGCCAAAGATCAGCTCAAAAGTCAATGTCTAAATTATTTATCACAGTGGAAGCATGACAAACCAAACTGGAAGTTCATGAAGGCTAGGCAAGTATGGCTTTTCAAAAACAAATTCTCAACGCACCTAATACCAGATGCCTCATGGCCTACACTACTAGAATATTTTGAGTCTGCACAAGGCAACATACGAAAAATTCTATTGGAAGATGCTCACAAAGTAATCAAACAAATGGATGAATGGACAGAGTCACAAAAAGGAGAAACACAAAAGGATGACGAAGATGATCAAGACAATGAAGACAGCGAGGAATCACCTAAACCTAAGAAACCTGATGATAGTGTGTATAAAAGAGCTAGGGATCTAATACAATGTCTAGAAGAATAAACACTTGTTTTATTTTGCTTTATTTTTAATATCAACTACATGGTAACAACAATAAATTAAGTAAGTGCTAATAACACAGCCTAGACATTAACTTTTTGCTTGCTCTCATCAGAAGTAAAGTCTTCAATCCACTTGCGCAGCTTATCGGTATCTTGCAAGCCAACAAGGCGATGTAATACTTTTCCATTCTTTATAGCCACTAAGACAGGTACAGAGCTTACATCATAATCTAAAGCCAAGTCTGCCTGTTCATCAATGTCAACTTTAGCTAGTACCACCTTTCCCTTACTTTCGGAGATGATTGACTCCAACCTGGGAGTCAGTAGACGACAAGGATTGCACCATCTGTAAATAAATTACATGTTCTTGTAATATCATCTGTGTACTGTGTACTTTGATTTATATTAGAGTTGTTGACCATTATCAACATTGATAACGCTTTAATCTGAATAATACTTACGTAGCAAAGAAATCAACTACGACTGGGACTTTGCTGTTGATGACTTTGTCTTTGAAATCATCAGTACTTTGAATTTTTACAATATCACTTTTTACTGCCGTTATAGAAAAAGATCTAATAGCCGGAGATGTTTTCATAACAGCAGCATTGCGAATAAGAAAATTGACTCCGTTTTTAGCAAACATTTTTGCGTAGTTACAATTTGACAAATTCCTAGCAAACTACAGACAAAAGTGCAGACAGACGAGATACGATTTACGACAAAACCTGTCAAAGTATAAATTGTCATTACTCGTTTTTTTTGATACGACCACTTGTAGTTCTGCACGCTACGGCTGTTTACTATTTTTTTTTTTTTTTTTTTGAGGACTAAATCATAAAACTTGTCTCACCCAGGACATAGCGAGAGAAGTCAAGGGAGTTTCAGACTCTTAACGCATCCAGTGCCCCCGACGCGTATGTGCGTTTCCTTACGCTACTCTGTGTGCCCTCGACGCACCTGTGCGTTCTATACATTAAACCAAAACCACGGTTCCTTATTGCGCTCGGCCAATCAGCTGATACTTCCCTATTGACTACTTAAAACATACATTTTATTACCCACAGCATATTTAGGATTCTATTCGGGAGTGAGCTACCTTTGCTCATCAACCGCAGACCCACGCTTACGGTGGGAGGTAAGGATAACATCATGAGGAAACTTGGAGTTATAATTTCACATTATAAGTTAAAAATCGCCAATCCGCTTCGAGTACTGTAGGGATAGTGATTAATGCTTAAATATCCCTTCTTGTAAGAGCCTTTACTCAGCAGTGGGCACTTATTTTGTTTGGCGCGGTGTGTGGTGTCGTGAACTAGTGGCCTTCGACAATACAGAAAACTATAATTTGTTCATTGTCGTAACAGACCGCCCCGGCTTCATTAAGAAAATTTCCTCCATTTGGCAGCATACGAGCTGACAAAAGGCTCCACGGAAGTTTATAATTTATATCTAACCATAGTAAATGTATTAATAACATTCTGCTCTCTTTCTATCCCCTCTATACCCCATAAAACATATTTTATCGGTTCATCATAATTGACGTCCATTGATTGATTCTTTTAAATCAGTAAATACTTAATAACCTGTTAGTCGATTATAGCGTAACTCCAAATCTATCATAGAGTTCACGTTTCCAATTTTGACATTTGTTTCTGGTTGGTCACAATTATTCTCCGTTATCTGTAAGCCAATCATCTCCTTACTATAGAATATAACATAAAATAGTAGCATCAAAGAGAACAAAACCTTGTTTGTCTCTTTGCAATGAGAACGAACGTCAAAGGACGACAGCGTTTCCCTGTGGCCAGATTTTATTGAAATAAACAGTTTTATTTGTATTTGTTAGTTGCAATTTAGCGGAAAATGTATTCTAGTGATGATTATAATGAGGTATCGGTTAATCCGCAATCTAATTACTGTGCTTTAAACACATTCATATGACCTAACCTCTTGTACATTAAAACGTAAGCAATTTTTGTTAAATTTGTCCGGTTAATCCTATTTTACTTAATGTTTTAGGGTGGATATGAATCCTATGGTGATTACGAACCTCACACCGGAGATCCACAGTATGACCTGGAATATGACAGGTCCTCATACTATAAAATGCCTGACATGGTAAGATGCTTCAGTTTTTAATAATTACTTATGAAGTATTTTGTTCGTACGTTGTACCTAATAAAATATTCTTTGCTAGGTCAAGAAATTTCTGGTTTACTTCCGTAACATGATCAATGAGGGAGTTACATATGAAATTCTCAACCTGTATGAGAACACTTTCCCAAAACTTACTGAACAGTATTTTGAGAACACTCCGTGGCCTGATGAAAATGAAGTATCGCCCGTGGTGGATAATGACCATGTAAGTTTTTTAAGCATATTATTTAGTTTTTATTATGTTGTTATATATACCATATAGATACACAAGATATATAATTATACCATACATTTCCTTTTTTTTTTTAATTAATGTTTTAATATTTACATACTAAATTCATAACCATGTCAACCATAACATATCCACTGCTGTCTGTAAACCATAGTTGAATGGTAGCTTAACCCGTGATATGCCGGAGTGCAGATCCACACAAGACACTATGTGTTTTCTATTGTTTGACATAAACAGAAGAAGTTAAACTTCTTCACTATTGACCATTTTATCTCTATTTTTATCTCTATTTTTATCTAGATTTTATATTTGTGACATATAAACATTAATTAGCAGCTTTTTGGCATATTATTTTCAATAATTTCAGTCACACAATAGAAACTTGCTACTAAAAAATTGTAAATATTATTTTCAGGTTTTCATGATCCTTTACAAGGAATTGTATTATCGTGATATTTACGCGCGTGTCCCTGGTGGACCAAAACCTGACCAGAGGTTCCACTCATTCTACAATTATTGTGACCTCTTCAATTACATCCTGTCTGCGGAGACACCTGTTCCCCTCGAGTTGCCTGACCAATGGCTGTGGGAACTCATTGATGAGTTTGTCTACCAGTTCCAGTCATTTGCACAATACAGGTTAGTTTATATGCTGTAGTTTTTTTTAAACTAATCACTGTGATAGGTATTTTCTAATTTTAGATACACAGTCAGTCACTACAAGTGTTTAACATAAAATTTATGTAATTACAGATCACGCACATCTAAGCTGAGCCCAGCTGAAATTGATGCTCTTAACACTGAAAACAAGGCCTGGAATGTGCTTTGTATCCTCAATGTACTCCACTCGCTTGTGGACAAGTCCAACATCAAAAGGCAACTTGAGGTGAGTGCTAAATTTATTTATCTTTATCTACATTTTCTATCATCCTACCTTACCCTTAAAGTGGGATGATCTCCGGCCACCGTAAGCGGGGGTCTGCGGTCGGTGAGTAAGGGCATCTCGCCGCCCAGCGCTCCGCGCGCGCCTCAAAGAGCCAATAGACCACCACAGACGGGGCCCTATAAGGCTGATGTTCAGCCGGGGTTGCGGGGTAAGCGCAATGAGGCACAGATAAGTCATTTGATGATTTTCCCCTCACAAAAAAAGACCCTTAAAGTGTAAAATATTGCGAGGGTGTATGGATGTATGTAGAAAGATATGAATAAAATTATCAAAAACAATATATCCATGCAAATAATGAAATCAATTTTTTTCTTTCTTTGATTACAACTAACTGTCCAATACTAAAATGTGTCATTGTAATGGTTTAATATTGACTAGTTTCCGCCCGCGGCTTCGTACACGTATGAAAGTAATGTATTTCCTAAAAATCCGATTCTATAAAATACAGCCATAACTAAACTTACCTAATATTTACTAAGGCATGCATGCTAGATGCGCTGTTAGATAGAACGCGGTTTACATTTTGGTCCCGTGGGAATTTTGTAATATCTTGTTTCAATTAAGCTTTAACTTTACTAAGGTACCTGCAGGCCGAGTTTCAAGTTTCTATGTTTAGCCATTTTGGCTGTCCATTGCAATTTCAGTCAGTCAGTCACATTCTCCTTTATACATATATTTAGATTATACAAGATAAAAATTAGACACACCATTTTTGTTGTCAAACTTGTAGGTTAGACAACAAAAATGGTGAAGTGTGTTTAGGTGTGCTTGTGGCTTGGCATATTTCCCCAAACAGAGCCTCTACTTCATTGTCGCAGTATGTCGACATTAGTTGGTATCCTGCCCAACACACTGTATTTGCCTTGTTCAAATGATGCATATTATGTTTTCTTCTATTCAGGTTTATGCTGCTGGCGGCGATCCTGACTCAGTTGCGGGAGAATTTGGACGTCACTCTCTTTACAAAATGTTGGGCTACTTCTCCCTTGTAGGCCTCCTCCGCCTTCACTCCCTTCTCGGAGATTATTACCAGGCCATCAAGGTAAATTTGGATATGGCACTAACCAGACAATATTAGTACAAAAATATAATTGAAGCATTGAAGAATTAAGCTAGAATCTAAAGTAGTTTCTTTTATTTGGGCAATGCTTTTGTGGTTTACGATTGACCCCTGTGTGCCAAAAGGAAAAAAAACTATGTATCTCATATATAAAATTGAATTGCTGTTCATAAGTCTCGCTCAAACTCGAGAAAAGCTGTACCGACAGCTGTGGTCTTGTAACATTCCTGGCTATATGTGGTGTGGATGGTTAAAAAATCTGAAAAAAACTAAATAAAAAGAAAGGAAATACTATATTTGTTAGTTATGTTTGAGGCGGTATGAAGCGTGCCAGGTCAGCTTGTATAATATACTTTTTTTCAGGTTTTGGAGAACATTGAGCTTCATAAGAAGTCTCAATACTCGCATGTGCCTGCCTGCCAAATCTCCACTTCTTACTACGTGGGATTCGCCTACATGATGATGCGTCGTTACGCCGATGCTATCCGCACGCTCTCCTCAGCTCTGCTATACATGCAGCGTACCAAACAGCTGTTCTCTTCCCGTTCGTACCATAACGATCAGATTAACAAGCAGACTGAGCAGATGTACCACCTTTTGGCTATCTGTCTGGTTCTCCACCCACAATGCGTCGATGAGTCCATTCAGCAGGTAAACATTTTTAATGTATTAATTAGTGTCTTAAATCGATTATTCTTGGGTTGGCAATCCCGTCAATAAGTCATGATAACCAAGTTCCAGTTCAATCTTATACTTTTGTAGGTAATATAGTTCAATATCTATTTTTTGCGTTGTTTGTTTATATAGGTGCTCCGTGAGAAGAACTACCACGAGAAGATGTTCAAGATGCAGTATGGTGACTTGGGAGAGTTCGAAAGCTGCTTTACCTTCGCTTGTCCTAAATTCCTGTCACCATGCCCGCCGCCTATTGAGCCAGGCTCCAACTATGGACGTGATGCTGTAAAACACCAAACTCAGGTGTTTATGGATGAGGTTAGTTAAATTTATATTACCTTGCGCATTATAATAATTATAGTACTAGTACCTAGTCAGTAGTAGCAGGAAGTATAACTGGAAATCGATGCGTCAGACATATTATTTTTATTATGTTCAGGTGCGTCAGCAAAAGATGCTGCCAACAATTCGTTCGTACTTGAAACTGTACACCACTCTGCCTTTGGCTAAGTTAGCTGCCTTCATGTCCGCTGCGCGCGGCGGCGAGAGGGATGCAGCGCGCGAGCATGCCGCTCTAGCTATCCATCTGCTGTGCTTCAAGCACAAGATGAAGAATGTTGTGTGGACTAAGGGACCCAGTGGTCTTGATGGAAAGTTCCAGAGTGGATCTGAGGTAAGAATGAATTTTATTTTGATTACTGAAGTTAATCGTAGAAGTAATTGCTTAGTAATTGTTTAGCTTCTTTGGTTTTGAGAATTTTGTTTCATTGAGCTGTCAAAAGCATGACTGTTTAGCAAGGGGTCTCATATTCGAATCTCGAGATGGGCAAGTATTATAAGTTCCTTCTGATTATGGTACAAAATTTTAGTTATGGTCTGTATGCATTTTTTGCCTGGTTTAAGGCAATAGACTAAAAAAGTGATTGTTGCATACATAGCATAAATTATATGTTCATCTCAAAAAGAAAAGAGATATTAAAAACTCTAAATTGTTGATTCAGTAATATAAATATTGTTGATTCAGTAATAGAATATTATTAATTCAACAATAGTAAACTACTTCTAGTAATTATGGTGATATTTATTGTTTTCAGTTGGACTTCTACATTGATAATGACATGATCCACATTGCCGACACGAAGGTGGCTCACCGTTTCGGCGACTTTTTCATTCGTAAACTTTTGAAATTTGAAGAACTGAACCGAAAGCTCCATCACATTAAAATCTAAATGTCTCAAATATAAGAACTGGATTTTGTAACTGTATAAATAAAAGTTACTAATATTTCTGAAATGTTTTTAATTCACTATTCGAGGAGTATATCGACTATATTTTCTATTGCGTTTATAGAACCTCTTTGGTTCTTTGATTTCCACTGGACTTCTTTGTACTGTTTCTGGGTAATTTTCTCTGTATTGTTGCCATGGGTGTTCAGGTTTTAAAGCTGCTTCAACATTTACTTCTTTTAACCAGGTGTTGTAATACTTGGTATATATTGCAAAAGCCTTCTTGAAGGTTTCGGAAACACGGTCCTAAAATTAACAATAGATATAATGAGATAACTATTTTTACAACAAATCAACATAATTATAAAGCAATATAATAACAGCATACCTTTTTATTAATATTATCAGCACATTTTTCATTGAATGTTACTAGATGTTTTAAGAATATGTCATTCAGCTTTATATTTTCTTTTTTCACTATATTCATAATGTATAGGACATAGCCAAAGTTGATAGTTGCTGTTCCATGTCTCAATAAAGTTCCCAGAATTTCTATGTTGACCCTGTAAAAATAATTGATACATGTATCAAGTAACCAGGAGAAAGTAAAGAATTTGGTATTTAGAATTTATAATTCTTATGAATTCTTTCTTTTAAATTTGTACATACTTCAGATGTTTTTCCTCCATATCTTGGAGAAGTTTCTCTGCAGACTCCTTAGTTTTACATCCCATTGCCAGCACTCCATAAGACATTATATTCAATTTTAGCTTTAACTTCTTGGAAAATGGGAACCTTTTTTTTCTAAATTCACTCTCTTTTTCGATTATATCTTGCACAGCCTGTAACAAAATTAATTTTGAGATGAATGAAGAAAGTTTGGTTTTAAATGGTTTAAGAAAGTGACAATGTAGACTAATAGTGTTAACTTACAAATGCAGAATCATAATCAGACCTCAAGCACCTCTTCTTTATAAGCATATTATAAAAATCTATATCAGCCTGAACACCCAAAGTACTCATTGTTTGGAGTAATCTCTCTTCAGCTTCTGTAGTGTTATCCAACAATGGTAGCATTTGAGTGAAGGTCTTTATATTAGGTTTAACTGAATATGTGTGCATTTCTTTAAGGAAGTCCTCTTGTCCACCGACAACTGCAAACTTATCTTGTAATGAGTGAATTTCTTGTAATCCTGTCACTTTATCCATATTCACCACTTTTGACAATAAGTTTGGTAAGGGAGCCTCATTTCTGACTACTTTGTCTAATTTGTTCACAAATTCTAATGAAACATTATCTTTTTTATCTATGATACTTAAATCACTTCTAGAAACATTGGTCTCTTCATTTTCTTTATCTACTTCAGCAACAGGTTTGGAGGGCTCAAGCAGATTTTGCTTGAATAGTTCACTTTTTAACTTTTTTGTTGAACCAGGCAATTTTAACTCTTCAGTTCTTTTATTTTGCAGCTGAATTTGATCTTGTATGACCCCAATTAGTTCTTCTATGTCCTGTTTACTGCCTAAGTTACAATCTTTGACACATTTCAGCATTAAATTAAAGCTAAAAATATTTGGCTTTTCTTTCAATTTTAGCATTTTTCTCCAAACTATAAGAGCATGGCGCAAACCATTCTGTTTATCAGATATACATGCATGGAGGAGATGATTTAAAGTATTAACTCTGATTTTAATCCTTTTTGCTGCCATTTCATCAACAATCATAAATGCTGTTGGTAAATCTCCACATCTCCCAAATGCTTTAATCATTGAGTTATAATTAGTAACATTTGGTTCATATCCTTTCTCAGTCATAAGCTCCTTTAGGTGCTTAGCCCGTTTTAATCCATCCTCTGGCCATGGGCTATTAGCACAAGCATGAAATAAGCAAGTGTAAGTATCTCCTGTAGGCAATAGAGCTCGTTTCTTCATGTCGTTAAATAATTTAAAAGCTTTCTTTGTGTACCCAACATCAGCACAAGCCCCAATTAGTATGTTGTAGATATAGTTTTCTGGTTTTACTCTATCCTCTTTTAACATTCGCGTTTCTAAAACATCGATGGCCTCTTTGAGTCTTTTGTGATTGATACACTGTTTTATTATATCGGCATACTGCTTAATAGTAAGCTTCTGAGTGCTTAAAGGTTTATTTTGTATGAACTCTTGTTCTTTTATATCTCCATCATCAACTAATTCACTTGATTCAGTGCTAACCACCCTGGATAAGGTGCCAAACTTATCTGGATCTTCTTTATACACCAAATTGTCTTCTGTTTTGTACTCTTTTGGTTTACGAATTTTTACATCTTCTGGTAAGGCTGCAGAAGTTGTAATTAAATTATGACGGATCACACTTGTCGACCTTATTATTCTTATTAATTTTAGGCACCGAAAAGCCATGGTTGAATATATATTTATTTAAAAGTTTATTTAAAGATATATTATTTTGTAACCATTATAACCTAAAATAAAAAATTCAAATCCAAAATAAACTTTCAATGACAGCAGACCACAGACCTACAATAATATGGACCAGAAATACCTACAAAATCCGCGTGGATACCTACTGTCAAAAATGGCCCTTAATATGGCTGCCATTGCTAGGGAAGTACTGTAGTCAAAACCAAAAAGTATCGATATCGATAGCCGAGTTTCATACATTTCTTCTGGCAGGTATTTCAGATTTTTTTTGAAGGTAGAAATCGTCGAATGACTTCTCAAGCTCTGGGTAGAGCAAGGATGTAGGGAGCATGTTAGACTTTTACTGGCTAAAACCATACCTGTATTCGTCGAAACGCGTGGATCACATGTTGATGAATGAGCTCAGTCCGGTTAGTTACCAGATGGCGAGCAACCCATGTTGCACCCGTGTTGCTCTATGGTTACAAGTTTATTAAAACGACAAAACATTTTGAATAAAAGTACCTTTATTCACCATAACAAATCATCAATTAGGTCAAAACAAATTGCTTCATTTCAAAGAGATAATAAGTCATTTTGATATTGTTTCACTGATAAGGGTGGTTGAGTTACCATGAAGGAAGACAGTTCTTCGACATTTTCGATTTCACGCAGAACCAGCCCTTTTGTTTTTTTTTAATGCTTATAACTTTTTTATGATTATTAAATAATATCGTATTTTTATCACTAGACTCAAACACAAAATTGTGTAGAGGTATTTAATAATATTAAACTTGACAAACAATGATATTAAAGCACTGGATGAATCGACAGGCTGATCGGGAAATTAAGAACAATGTAATGTTAATTAGGTACTTCACTTACAACAAGGTCGATTGACATCATCACGCAGCCTTATAACATCAAGGGTTTTTGACGGATAATTTTGCGAAGTGATATGAACAAATACGTGGCGCTTTAAGTCCAGGTTTGATATTTTCCGTCCCAATCACTTCAAGCCACTTCTGACGCAGACTTAATTTTTAGGGAATCTGTGCAAATAAACAACATACAAATTATTTCAGTTTGGTGCATTTAGTGGCACTAATCATAGGCTGAACTAAATGACAGCATCTACTTTATGAAGAATTGATTTTGTTATGTTTTGCTACCATGACTATTTTTAACCGTATTCTGTAAGATTTATTTTTAAAATCGTCTCTTTAGACCCTTTATTTTGATACCCTATTCTACTGGACACCACAATTATTAAACTAAAACAATGTTAGTTTCATATCGATACGTTATTAAATAAAATACATCACTATTGTAAATCGTCCTTTGCATTGTAAACAAAATAAAAAATAAATTTAGCAAATAGAGATAGATATCAGAAACAAATTGAATGTACAATTGGGGGCATTTATTCTATAAATAAAACAAGGCTAGATATACAAAAAAACTAATAGTATGACAAAGTTTTTCTTAAAATACGGCTACTATGTATGGTCAAATGAGGTTGATTAGGGTTTTTCCTTACCCCACACTGAATTATTGAGCAATTAGGCACATTGAATATGAACCACTAGACAATCACAGCACAAAACAATTAAGTTGGGAGCGTTTTTAATCTTAAAAATCGCAATTTAAATCTGATGTTGTTGTTCGCTTGACACCTGACGTACTACAAAACTATGGGCCCATACTATGGCGGCCGGCACGCACCTTGACAGAAAGGTATAAATGTTACCAGGTAGAGAATAAACAAACTACATGACGTCTCTTTCTTCAAATGAGGTTACGCATTGGTTAAAAAGAGACAAAGTATAGTTTCATATTTCAACATCGAATTGATGTATATTTGCATAAGCAAGTAAGCTAAGCTAGCAAGATCATTACAGCGCATCTACATAATACTAAATCTATGCAGCAGACAGACAGATGATGTGATTTAGAGGAATAGATATTTCTTATTAAACTCTTTGATACATACTTAATAAATAAACTTGATAGAGGTCAAAGATTTACTTGAGATTTACTCTATTTTAGCCAATTTTAGTCTATCCCGATTGGAATAGATATTATATATTTATATATAAAAATCCAAGGGTAAAAGAAATATGAAACAATTAAAATTAACATAAAATTTTCCGATAATTCAAGAGAAAAGTATCACCACACTAGTATCTTCGTTTCAGCTGTCACTTGCTTTTGCTTTGTCAATGTCAAAATAATAATAACCTAAATCGCGCATGTTGTGGTGTTCGTGTTATGGTGTTTCTCTGCTGGTAGTCTTATCAAATTATTGTTTGTCGGAAAGCCCATTTATTTAGTTCTTGCAGTCATGTCAGCCAATGAAGCAGATGACCAGATGGAGGCCAGCTCCTCTGGAAGCGAGGATGAAGTTATGGAAGGAGAGGAAGAAAATGATGATCGCCCCAAGACTTATTTGCCGGGTCAGCCTTTGAAGGAAGACGAGCAGCTGGTCTGTGACCAGTCCGCCTACGTTATGTTACATCAAGCGCAGACTGGTGCACCTTGCCTTAGCTTCGACATCGTTCCTGACAATCTTGGTAACGACAGAAGCGAATTCCCAATGACTGCTTATTTGGTAGCCGGCACTCAAGCTTCTAGTGCCCATTTAAATAAGTAAGCCGAATTACTTTGATATGTATTTTTAATTCATATGCTTTTAAATTTGTACCTACTTCAAATGTTTTTCCTCCATATCTTTGAGAAGTTTCTCTGCAGACTCCTTAGTTTTACATCCCATTGCCAGCACTCCATAAGACATTATATTCAATTTCAATTGATATGTAATTTCTATAAGCGATAACTTTCAGTGATTTTATTTTACAGTCTTCTAGTTATCAAAATGTCGAATTTGCATCAAACATCAAAAGCTGAAGATGAAGAAGAGTCTGATGAAGATGAGGATGACGATGACGAGGAAGAGGATGAGGAAAAGAAGCCGCTAATGACATTCTCATTCATCAAACACCAAGGATGTGTAAACCGAATAAGGGTGAGTTCATCAAATTGTGTTGCATCCTTGCATCACTACTTATAAAATGATTTAAAGACAGTTGGAATAATTTTTCATAAACTTTATATTTTTTGTTTTCATAGGCAACAAGTTTTAGAAATTCCGTTTTAGCTGCAAGTTGGTCTGAATTAGGCAGGGTAGACATTTGGAACATAACTCAGCAGCTACAAGCAGTGGATGATCCCGCATTACTAGAACGCTATAATCTGGATACTGTCAACAATCCAGTCAAACCTCTCTATTCATTCAATGGACATCAACAGGAAGGATTCGGTATTGATTGGTGCCCCACAGAAACTGGTGTAAGTTTCTCTTAAACCATATATAGAACATATTTTAGTAGACTTTTTGGCTTATACTGTTTACTCTACTTAATTGAAACTTATGTTTTACTGAAAACTTCCAGGTCCTAGCAACAGGTGATTGCAGAAGAGACATCCACATTTGGAAACCCAATCAGGCTGGCACATGGGAAGTGGACCAGCGCCCCCTAGTAGGTCACACAAGTTCTGTCGAAGATATACAATGGTCTCCTAATGAAAGGTATGAATGTAACATATTTTAGAAGTTATTATGATATTTTTGTCATTATGATTGCATGAAAGATAAAATTCGAATCATCAAAATAGTCTGATTTGTCTTATTCATATTGATAATATCTTATCAAAAGTCTTAAGAGTTTAAGTAATTTAGGTATTTGGTTTTTGAGTTTAAAATTATAGAAAGGCTAAATTATATGGTATTTTTTAGGAATGTTTTAGCTACATGTTCTGTTGATAAATCAATAAGAATATGGGACACCAGAGCAGCCCCCCATAAAGCGTGCATGCTGTCAGTAGAGAATGCTCATGAAAGTGATGTAAATGTTATATCATGGAATAGCAAAGAACCTTTTATTGCAAGTGGTAAGTGTCTATAGGGTATAGATTCAATGAGAATTTAATTCATACAGTAACTAAACAAATCTTTTACTTGTGAAAATTCTCTTTTATACTACTACTACTATATACTAGGCTATTTTAAAAAATTAACTTACAAACTTCAGGTGGTGATGATGGCTTTCTTCATATCTGGGATTTAAGGCAACTGGCCAACAAAACTCCAGTTGGTACATTCAAACACCACACAGCACCTGTTACTTCAGTAGAGTGGCACTGGACTGAGCCCAGTGTGCTGGCTTCTGCAGGTGAAGATCATCAAGTTGCACTATGGGACTTGGCAGTTGAACGAGACGATGACGACATAGTTGATGAAGAATTGAAGGTAAGACTAAGATTCGACTTGCGCGGTTGCTTGCAGCTTTGATCTTTCAGTTGTATAACAAAAAGGGGGAGAAGTACCTTCCTTTGTAGCAATTCTAGCCTTTTAATAAACAGAGTCAAATTTTGCATATTTCTTTATTTACAATAAATTATTGTTGGAAATTTCAAATAATACTGTAACCTCAATTAACACTGGCATAATTTTCCAGAACCTTCCACCCCAGTTGCTGTTCATCCATCAAGGACAGAGCGACATAAAGGAATTGCATTGGCACAAACAAATGCCAGGAGTAATGGTGACTACTGCTCACACAGGATTCAATATATTCAAGTCTATTAGTGTATAAAATAAAACTATGCAAATAAATATTTTGTCTTTTAATAATTTGTTGGTACATTATCCTTACATGATTTAGATTTATAATATAAAAAATTTAAAATCAGGTATCAAATAGTATCTTTTGTATGGACCATGGCTAAATTAACTAGATGTCGTATTGTAGGTCTACCATGAGGACAATTCTGAAAAAGATAAAAAAACATTATCTAGTAGTAATTTTATCAATATAATTAACTTAGTCTGTGGTGGCTGGGTATATATCACCTTATTGTTACCTAAAATTCAGATATGAAATAGGAGTGGTATTGGATGATAATATTTTCCTCTAAATTATACAGAAGATATATAAAAATATCGTCTCCCAGGGTGGTATCAGCCGGTTTCCCGGATACTTCGGCAGATCTATCGGTTTGACTCACTCCTCAAAAAGGGGTCAGTACTGCTGCGACAATAGCGAGCCCGGCCCTCGGTTGAGACAGTCGTTGCTCCCCCGCCGTCATGAGATCGCATCGGAGCTCATCTTACTTGGCCTCCAGACCCCATGACAGTGTTCCGGAGGTTCGTCTCCTCCCCGGAGATCGTGCGATAGTTGTGGGTAATACATATGGCCATGACCCACTGGAACACAAGCAGCTCACGAGCTCGCCGCCGCCTCAAGTCTAGCACCTACACAGGGGCCCCGTAGAGGGCTATGAACAGCACGATCTTCAAATAAAACCCTCGGCAGGAGCCTTTTGGGCCACCTCACCTTTAGCGGACCTGAGTCAGATTTTTACTGACTAAAAATCTCCTCGTTTCTACTCCTGCTCTGGGCCAACGCCGCGGTGCCTCATTGTGCTTGCCCGCAACCCTGGCTATTCTGTTTCAACTTGGGAACCAAACGTCGAAAATAAGGTGAAGTGGTCTGGTGAAACTGGTCTTCCACGACAGCAGAAACTGACACCTCTCCAAATACGCGTTGAAGAGACTGACAAGTCGACGCTTGAGAGCTTCCGAAGCGAAGATTCCAAGCCTTAGCAAGCAGTTCGTCGGGGTCTATGAGATATTCTAAACGCTAAAGACGGCGCACCACCGGTCATCTTGGGAACGGAGTCAACGTCGCCGTCGTTGTGGCCCCCATTGGACACCGCAGGGTCTTAATCCACACGTTAAGGGGGAGGGAGGGTGTCGACGTAGCGTGACATTGTGTGATTAGGGGGAGGGAGGGGGTCCTAAATTTGGTGACGTCACATTTCAAAAGTTCAAAACTCATTATAATTTAAAGTGTTAAAACATGAACATTGATCTATTGACAAAACATTAAAAAAAATTTGCTATCTGTAGACATATAAGGTTCAAAATGTTTTGTCAGCAACTCGCTCTACTAGTGTTAAAATAGGGGGTGTAACTCTTTTGTGGTCGGGGTAATAAAGGCCGTGGACTAGGACGTTCACCAGCTTCAGCTAGAGATTGAGTCAGCAGGAAAACCATTCGGTGCTCCATGAGTCACTATTCTGCGCCTGTAGTCTCCGATCCGAAGCGATAAACATTAGGTCCGCCTTGCCCTGAAGGCGGTCTTCACCACCCTGTATGTGTGTGTAGTTTACGCCTCTTTGGCCTCACCGCCGCGGTGCACTCATCAAGCAGAGCAGCCAGCTCCCGCAACCACAAATAAATCCGGCACTTCGTTAGCCCGACCCGACCCGGGGTATAGCCACGTCACATAGCAGGTACATGCGTTACAGTGCAGCGAAGCAGTGTAAGCGCCAGCCTTATGACTCTTACTATGCATATTGTTTTCACCAGTTTATAAATATGTAAATATACTTTACCCAAGGTTTATCTATTTCAGCCATGTGATCAACAAGTTTTCTCATGTCTGCTTTGCTGAGAGCTGTTCCAATCATGACGGATTTCCGACAAGCACGAGATGCAAACATTGCCCTTACTCTGCTTGGTCTACAATATTCTGAAGGAGATTCCTGTAAAACGCAATAAACATACCTCAAATGCCTATTCAACATTGTATATACAACTCGTAAAATACGAGTGATATATTGTATATTTTGTTTGTTGTACTTATTTGTATTTTACATTGTTACCTCTGCCAACAATATTAAAGTAGTTACAGATATGAACATGTTATGTTGCTTTAATTTTAGGATTGCAATAATCGAATTATATTTGGTATGAGATAAATAAAATACATACTCTCAACATAAATAATAGCTCTTCTATATCTTCTTTTCCAAATATCCAGTTTTTAGACATGGGTAAGGTCAATAATTTAACTCTTTTTGTGGGTAAAGCATCTTCATCGATTTCAAAAGTAAAACCATTCTTTTTGAATACATCCAAATTGTCCATAAGTATTTGTTCATTCACTCCAGTTAATTCAAGTGACTGGGGTCTGTAACAACAATAACTTAATTCAGATTATATGTTCACTTAACATTACTTAACAAAAAAAAAAAAATGTTAAAAAACCTACATGACTAATTTTTGACTAGTAAGCTCTGTAGTCTTTTGTAATGTTTCGAAATTGTAAATCTCATCAGTAGCATGTTGGTCTATTATGAAAAGGTCATCTTCTAATCTAGTTATGATAAAACCCAAATTAAATTGACCAATAACCTGCATGCTTTTAAATGAATCCTTTGAGATTTCTTTATTCAGTTCTTCTTCACATTTCTTGTTGAATACAGGATTAATTTCACTTTTGAATTTAACCCTTTTAGGGGTTGATTGTTTTTTATTTTCAGCATACATATTTGTCAATATTTTCACATGTTCAAGGGATGTCTTTAAAGTTACAGATCTCCTATTATTCTTCCCCAAATCTTCTTGATCAGTGACAACTTTTTGCTTTTTAGGTGATTTCTCCTTTAACTCAGTTGAAATATTCGCTTTTGTTTTCAATCCTTTTGTTTTACAGGTAATTGTATGAGACTTCTCCACCACAACATCTTCAAGGTGTCTTATTTGTGTATTGGGTATATTTTCATAATAATCTAAATACATTACATTTTCGTTGTCTTTATTATCTTCCAATGATGAACTCTTAGACATCTTCTGATCTATGTTATTCAAAGAACTTGCACTACATTCTGAAAGCTGGTTCTCTGCACTTTCATTCTCTTCTTCATCATCTGATTTGAGAATATCTAAAGACAGATTTGTACTACCGTCAATTACTTCTTCCTGGCACAAAACTTCTTCTTTGACTACTTCAGTCTTCTTTGTCTTTGAGGAAATAAAATCTAACATTGTAGTAGATTTTCGCTTAAGTTCTATTTTTGTAGATTGTACATCTACTGTAGTTGCACTATCAGAAACCTGCTTAGTTTTATTTTTAAATTGTTCTAAAAATGAATTGAATACCCTTGGCTGCTGTAAATCTGGCTTTACATCATTTAATTCTTTAGTATACAAATTAAGACTTGGTTCAATCTTTACTGTTTTAGGGATATTTTCAAATAATTTCAATAAGGAGTTTTTTAAAATGTCTAATATTATTTTCTCTTTAGTGAGAAATACTTTTCGTTTGTCTGGAGTTACATTTACATCAACAGCTGTTCTTTCTAAATTTACATTTAAGAACACAAAGGGGTATTGATTAGAGTTAAACTGTCTGTATATTTCATTAATGGTTTTAATGACCTTGGTTGGCTCACAGGGCCTGGAGTTTACAAAATAAAATTGTCTGTCAGTGCTTGACCTCCCACTACCATGAGCACAAGAGGAAATAAAACCAGTAAATTCTATAGGTTTCGATACATTTTTGTAGCCCTGAGATTTTTGAGAAGCACTTATCTCTATTGTTTCATCAGGTTTTTCAGCATCATTAGAGTCTTCAGATAAATCTATTTCAACATCTTCTAAGTCTAGAGTTTCATCTGTTTTGTTTACTTCTTGTGACAAACCTTTAAAGATATTATCCTTTATGTTGGAAATATATTCAGGTTTAATTTCAAGTAATGTTTGCAGTTGCTTTACACCAAAAACACTAGCTATATTGTCTTTATAAGATGATGTTCCTTGTGTCGTTACTACTAAAGTTTTTGCATTAGAACTTGTTTGATTTGTACATGTAATCCTGGAAAAGACAGAGATTTTATAACACTGGTATCAAAACCCAATTTAAATTCATTTTTATTAGTAATTTTATTGCTTACTTTACTCCAATAGATATGAGACAGTATGCATAGAGTAACTGAGTCATCTTATTGAATTCTCGTTTGGCATTCTTATGAAATTCTTTTTGTCTAACAGGTAAGGAGTTGAAAAGATTTGTTAAACTGACTGTGGTACCAATCTGCCTTGAACATGGTGTTTGCTTTGTGATATGACCTTTATGGTCATATTCAATTTTTGTAGCTGCAATGTAAAGTTACCAATTTAAGTAGTGACAATTTAAAAACATAAATTAACTGTTATCAACTAAATGAATACCATATGCAGCCTCCTTATGTCTCGTAGTTATAGTGAGGTTGGCTAAAGAACATAATGAGCTGAGTGCTTCTCCTCGAAAGCCAAAGCTAGTCACACCAAGTAGGTCAGAGTAGTCTGATAATTTAGATGTGTGGTATTTTAAAGCTGAAAAGTATAAACATGATTAACACAAGCAGATTGTGGAATGTAGAAAGAAAACTTGATCTAGTGTAACTACTAACTTTAGTATTTAATTATCATTTCAAAGTTTAGCTACCCTTTTCTCACTGAAATGATAGATAAATTTGATAATTTATAAGAAGGTCTAGTTGTACCTAATTCACTTCACACGCTACATATATTCAGTCATTTACTATTATATCTTACTTAAAGCAGCAAAGTTGTCTTCAGTAACACCACTGCCATTGTCTGATACTTCAATCAAGTCAATGCCATAATTTTTAAATCGTATATCTATATTGGTCGCTCCAGCATCCAAGGAATTCTCTACCAGTTCTTTCACTGCAACTGCTAGACTAACAACTACCTATAAAGATGAAAAATTGAAAGCTGTGTTGAAGGTATAAATCAAAGTTTAAAAAAAAAACTATTCTTTGATTACACTTAAAATATTTAAGTTATTTGTATTATTTAAATCATTTATTTTAATTGATTAGTTACATACAAAGAAGAAAGTTAATTTAGGCGTACCTGTCCAGAACATATTTTATGCACTGTGTCTTTAGATATAGCTTTAATATCGTTAATTTTATTAGTTGTCGTATCCATGATTTCTTTTATTATAAGTAATTCTAAACAAAAACTATGATTTTACTATAAAACTTTTTTCCCGCTAAAGTTTTTGCGATTCCGCATTTTGCATTGACATAGGAAATATTTCTATCTCAATGGCATTTTGTTTATAAATTCTTTATTGACATAGCTGACAATGTGACAGCAACAGCAACCTGAGAGACTGACATTTGAAAAAAACTTGACATCACACATTTACAAGCTAAGTTGTATAATACGACCCATAGTTTGACTATATATTATAATGATGTCTTAACTTTTTTGATACCAATTGTTTCGTACTTAATGTTTTTCTTAATTTCGGAAGAAATCAAATATTCTTGATAATCACAATTTACGGCATCAAATTCACACCACTCTTCTTAGTACCTACCTCGGCCTTCTAGATTTGTTGTTATTGTTATCTGTATTTTTTTAATTGCTGTCACTGTCATTCGTAAGGCAAAACACGAAAATCCATCACTTCTTACTCGCTTATTATTTCATGTTTATTAAAAGTGGTAGCTAAGTATTAATTACCAATATAGATCAAAAATTTCATAATACATATTAGAAATCTTAACAAAATGTCTCTCAATACGGCTCACGCCGATCATGGAGTGTTGATACATGCAGGAGAATGGTGAGTCATCTCTTTGGATATAAGTGACGACTGCGTATTTAGCTTTAGAATGTTCTACACTTGTGATGCTGCTATGTTATTGATTTTTATATATAAATCTTCTTTTGAATATTCGTTAACTACCTTATATACCTCCACGAATTCACTCTGCGTTTCGCTGTTTTCGGCTATAGTCTACAAAAAATTCCTGAAAGAATAATCTTTTGTTGAAATAATTGAGATTATAAATAAGGTTTCATTAATGCAAAACATTATCATAAACTGCGGCTTTCTAATACTGAGTGTACTGTACATTTAGGAAAAAATATTTGATCTGAATTTAAAGTACCAATTACTTTAAAAGAAAATGATAATTGACCCTATTGCACTATTATATTCAGGTTTAAAGAACTACTATTCTAATTAGAGTTAACAGTATTTCTTTTATAAAGAATAATTTTAAATTTAATTATTTGTAGAACTGTAAAGATTTTGTAGCTACTTCATTTCTGAAGGGCAAGAGGTAAAACTAGAATTCAGGTTTTTGTATTTTTTTTGTTTTTTACTTGGTGATAATAACGTCATTATAGTAATGAAGTTTAAGATAGCATATTATTTCACTCTGCTAATGGAAAAAATATGAATATCTTATGAGAAAGGGATTGGATGTGTTAGTTATGAAATAGTTTATTTAAGTATAAAAATCTTCAATTCAAAAATATGAAACAAAATAATAAACAGTAAAGTAGTATAATCTGAATTACTGATTACATTTTCTAAATAACTGCCAACTAATTGTACATATTAATATGAATTGAGGAAGAAGGAAGGGAAATTATTATTCTTGTGATAATGTTTAATTTTTTTAATTAAATCAATTTAATAAATGGTTAATTTATTAAGATTTCATGATAGTATCTGTTAAATTAATAGTTTATAATGTTAAATGTTTTTAAAGTAAGTAATAACCCACTATTCCTTTCTAGGGTTTACTACTACAAAATACTTAAACTTGATAGTTATAAAGCTTTAGCAATATGATGATTTGCATACAAGGTTAATAGGTGAGCATGCATGAAAAGAGTATTTTATCTATAATGCTAATTTATTTTCAGTATCATATTGTTTTCGGACAATGTCACAATTGATTTCTATGGAAATGACACTTCCGAGTTCGCTGGAACTAAAGAAGGCCGTATATACTTGACAAGTCATCGCATGATTTTCAATTCAAAAAGCCGCACAGAACCATTGCGTTCCTTCAGTTTTCCATTTGTTACCTTGATGGATGTAAGTTATTATTGTTTATTTAAGTGATGTGTTTGTTTCATTTCTTTGCTATTAAACATAACTTTATGCAAAATAATATTTTACCAGGTTGCTATAGAACAGCCTATGTTCTCTGCAAACTATATTAAAGGAAAAGTTCATGCACAACCTAATGGAAATTTTATTGGTGAAGTGAAGTTTAAAATCGTCTTTAAGTCTGGAGGTGCTATTGAATTTGGACAAGCTATGCTGAAAGCTGCACATCTTGGTAAGTATACCTAATATTACCTTTAATAATTTAAATGAATTCTGTTTTTCTATTTGTGGCACAGTTTGTTATTTTCCTATCTCAATGCGAAGTATGATATCACAGTGTGATATGATATCATTAGTTAAACATTGTTATGGCTGATTCATTACCATTTGTTATCAGAGAATGAAATATTTTATTGGATTTCCTTGCAATTTTATTATTTACTTAGTAACAGTGGTGTATATAACTGAACTATGAACATGCTATACAGCCTACTTTCTACGAAAAATTATGAGTCACTGGTTCTGAGTACTTACTTGAAGCCAAACCTTAACAATTCTTTTTTATGTGATATTAGCTCCATTTTACTTTAAGAAACTCTAGCCCGGAGTGGCTCCACCTGTGCACAAAACATTTCATCACAAGTTTTTAGGATGCTTTTTCTACTTCATTATTATTTAATCATTTGGGATAAAGTAACCTGACATTTTATAATGTAGGTGGCAATAAGTTTGTTAAGAAAGAGACTTCGATCAGCTTATTATTTTATTTTGATGTTTCAGCCACTCGTCACTCGGCGCCAAGCTCCATGCCTCCCCCGTACTCGCCGCCGACTGGTCCATGGTATGCTGCGCCACCGCCGGCGTACGCACCGCCTCCTCAAGGTTACTACGGATGGGTACCTCCTTACATGGTCAGTACATAGGAAATATGAACATTCATGTACTTTAATTAGCCGAGTGCTAAAGTATCTGTTCTCAGTGGTGTCAGAATATAATCATCATCATTATCATCATCATCAGCCGTAAGACGTCCACTACTGAACAAAGGCCTCCCCCTTAGTCCTCCACGTCGAACGACAAGCTGCCACCTGCATCCATTGGCTCCCCGCGACTCTGACGGTGTCGTTACCGGGAGGCCTGCCTAATATTAGAATATAATTATCTACAATTAATAAAAAAATAAAATATTCAATTTGATGAGCTCTCCAGCTTTTCTTGGAATAACTACAATAACTATTATATTAATTATTATGTTTCCGGCTCACTCACGTAATTATTTGACAAGGAACTCGTTACTAGTTTCAAGCCATGCTAGAGGCAGGTCGCCGGGTCGCGTGTCGAGATCCTCGTCAAATAAATACGTGAGTAAGCCGGAAACATAATAATTAATTAAGTATGTCTCACGAAAGTTATAATAAAAAAATATAACTATTGTATTATATTGGGGGAGCAAATGATGCTAATTTATTATAAGTAGGTATAAAACGAATGAATCAATTAATTCAATGGCGAAAACAAATTTAATTTCACATGTTTTAAATTTTAAACTTTGGGCGTTTGAATTTGGAATGCTAAAACACGTGGTTAAATTATGTTGATGTATTAATTTAAAATTCTAGGCTTTCCCGGATCAGCCGCCACCAAACTCAGTGTTTGTGTCGGACAACCCACCGCCGTATCCGGGCGTTTCAGGCAGTGCGTACCCGCCTGGCACTGGCTACTCTGGCGTTAGCTCGCAGAACAGCCCGTCGCCCACAGGTGCAGCATTCCCGCAGGGTCCTTCTGCTCCTCCCGGATACCCTGGCGGAGCCCCGGCTGGCAGGTCCTCCAGTGGTGAGGCTTATTCTTTTCTAAATTTCAAATTAAAATACTTTTATTCATTTTCGCTATTCAGATTTTGAATTGAATATCCAATCGGACTGGCCGAGGCTCCACTGTGAGTTGTTTTATTGCGAGTGTATTGTAGCTAATGCTTTTTGAGGTACTGATTAATATAGACTAGTGTATTTAGTAAGTGGGCTTCGATAGAATATTTAGTGTGATTGATATTGTTTTATTGGTTTAATTGTATCTGTAATGATTGCTGCAGTAGTGACATTGTCGTTTCCAGATGCTAAAGCTGCGGAAGCAGCGCAGAGCGCCTATTATGATCCCAACAGGCCTCAGACAGCCTACGTGCCGCCGCCATACAGCGTACGTATACAAAACAACGCATTAAATAATATTACATAGTAAAATTTAATGAAAACAGTATTTAAATTGTAATTTAGTATATTTCAAGCCCACTAATATTTAGTAAATAGTTGCAACTGCCTGTAACGTTGGTAAAGCAAGCATGTTTATGTTACAGGATCTACCGCCGAGTTATCAGGAATCGTTATCAAAGAAAGAAAATTAATGCACTGTCCACATTTCCAAATGCCACCCAGGCGCTCGTGTCTTAAGGCTCAAGATGAGTTTTACTTTCCGATGGAGAAGAATTATGATGATAGAGATAGTGACTAAGCTATTATAATGCAACATTCCTTTATTCAAAGAGTCGTAGTTACGTACACAAATATAAAATTATTATAAAAAAAATATATAAAATAAAATCATACCAAATTGATGTTCAGTGGTAAATAATCTAATACGAAATTTAAATAAAATCCAATTTTTAATAATATTGGTTGTTTTATGACTATGACTTGGTTTTGCTGATAAAATTAATTTGTTATTGTTCTAAACATGTATATAAAAAGTATTACTTAACAATTAAATATTTTCAATGTCGCTCACCAGACAGAAAATGTCAATGTAGACCTGAAAATAATTTGGTGTTTGTAATAAATAAGTATTAAATATAAAAAATGAATAGAAACTTGGGCCTTGCATTGCTAGTGTGATTAATAATGTTGTAGGATTCAGTGTTATTTTATTTAAAATAAATTAAATGTTAATGTGATATTTTCATAGTAAAGTAAAGCTGTATTCACTTTCACTGTTGTAGATAAGAATTTAATCAAAGTATATGTTAATTGCAGAGTTGTTCTAACGTAAATGTATTGTATATCGACAATATATTTCTATATTGGTAAGTTATTTATTGTTTCCTTACAAAATTAAATGTACACAGAATTATAAGCTTAATAAAGGCTTAGCTTGTTCACCTAAGTTTTATTTGATTGTATCCTTTTTTATTTTTTATTGGAAGAAAAACTTTGTCTTTGATGAATTGAGGATAGTAATGGAACCTTTATATTTTCCAATACCACCTAACTTCATGCGACGCGTAATCTTTGTCGATGATTTGTGTTTACTGTCCACGTGTAAAAAAAACAAGAAGATTAATAGCACATGTCAAGATTAAAAATAGAAGATCAAAAATGTAAAATCCGGATGTCAACAACAAAAATGATTAAATTAACAATTTAAATAAACTTTACCGATATGAAACTATACTAGTATCTCAAACACATTTACGCCTCAAGATTATGGGTAAGCATTCATAGTATTTGTGTATCTAGAATTTACATGGTAATTTAAAGTAGACACTAATAACAGCTTTGTACAAAGAAGCCTGCAAACGTAGATTGATTAATATCCATGAAAGAAGCCAGCCTCGTGTGAATATGACTGCCACTCATGAATTATTTCGTATTTAATGGTAGAAGACACGTGAAAGTCTTACCTATACAAAAGTTCAAATGCAGTGACAACTCAAACAAGTTTAGCCAACCCATTTATACAAAAGGGTACTTAAAATAATTAAATATGAGTTTAGTATACTTATAACAATTATGCGTACGAGTTCTATCATAGATAAAATGAAATATTGATTGCGACAGGCATTGAACTTTTGTACAAAGTTGTGAGTGCATTACGTTGAGGTGGTGAACAAAAGTTTATGTGGAAACATTAAGTTCAGTAAAGAATATTGATGGTACTTGGTGCTGTTCAATACGAAATTGCAATTCAATACGATATCGCATTAAACTTTAGTTCTTGACCTCTATACAAAGATTGATTCTAAGAATATCTTTTTCTTTTAACTTTAGTGTAAGATTTGGAAGCCGGCGGAGAATCTAGTTATATGTCCAGAAGTACCAATATAACATGAACAAATATTGTGAGTATCACTCATCCATTCATGTTATACTTAGGTTGCAATAATTGATATATTGGCTACAAATTATGATAATAAGTAGGTGTTACAATTAGGTGCCAACTATACTTACCCCTTACATTTCCGGGCCGTAAGCTTCCAGTGTTTTTTTACCTGTTTCAATCACCTCGCAAGGTAAGTCACGTTGAATTCCTTTTATTTACTATAAGTACCATGAGTGGCAGTTGTATTTTTTTTTTAATGCTGGCTTCTATTTCTCTGTTGAGATGATACGCTAACATAATTTCCTTTATTTTTAGAGCTATAAGTGGATTGTATCAATGGCGCCCTCTTTGCATCCACCATGCACGCCATCCGCTTCTTGCACGCCAATGCGTTGCCATCCCACTCCTCCGCCATGTAAGAACCCCGAAAAATGTCTCAAAAGAACAATTTCGAAGGGTATAAAGCCATGCCGCAGTGCTGTGTCAATTATGGCAACAAGATCAAAAACAACATGTGGGACCTGTGGGAAATATAAAAGTAAAGGCAACAACCCAAGAAATGTTAAGGCAGTTGAAAAATTTTTGAAAAGGAAATCTAAGGAAGCTAAAATGAGGAAAAAAGACAGACTGCAAGGAAAACATACATACTTGAAGTACACGCGAGGAAAGGGCAGTAAGAGGTCAACAACATCCTGTTGTGCCGGTAGAGGGCACAGAGGTCGACTGAAAAAGAAAAAGCGTTGTGAAATATTGTAAAACGTGTATGTTCATAGACTGGGCGAAACTATTATCCGCTTATATTACCTATTCAGCTATTTGTTTATTATAATATGACAATAATTAATTATTATAAATTATAAAATCATTATCTGGTATTTTATTAGGTACATATCTAGATAATTCTCCCTGCTCATTCAAAAACTACTTTAGGACTAGATATATGAAGCGAATGTTACGGTTTGTGAATAAATAAATATTACATTTCTACAGAATTTGCTGTAAGGTAATTTTTTATTAACATTCATTATATTCGAACAATTCAGTCCAGGCTGGCTTCTTTGTGTTAATTGCTTAAGGTATCATTGTGTTATTGTTATATTGTTATTATTAGTTTGCAGATAAATGATATAAGTTTATTTTTTGTTAACAGTTATGGTATGAATAAGCTGCCGCTTTGTTATTTATTGTGTACACAGAAGTCTCCTGTACAAAAACGCCATGTACAAAAGTGACAATGGTTTTGTACCTACCCACAACAAAACAAAAGTTGCTCCAGCGCAGTATTCATAAAGAAGGAAGGGGTTAATGAAATGAAACCCGATTATAAAGAGAACACTGACTATTAAGAAGTATTGATGCCTCGACTGGCACACAGAATTACAACGATATTATCATTATCCGGAAACAAATGCAGATCTAGACTATTTATACCTGATTACCAACTACAAATACCAGGACTTTGATGACAGAAATTATTGAAGAAAATTATGTCTAATTGTGTTTTGTAAATAATTATACGCGATGTACCTATTCAAAATAAACTTTACAGTTCAGGTTCAACAATTTGACCTTTGTCAATAAATTGTATCTAACTGTAACGAATGTAAATATTTTTCAATTGTGTCCATTTAATTATAAGGTTTGAAGACATTATTTCTCGCGTTAGGTACAGGTAGGTACCTAACTCAAGAAATAATCTACTTTTTAATTTTTACTTATGTTAATTTTGTAAATTAATAGTTGCCTTTTTTATTTTGAATGGTATTGTTAATTATTTACTAGTTATTAACTTTGTAGGTACTTTATAAACGAAATCCGTATAGTATCCATATATGCATACTTACTTCAAGTTACAATCTACCTAATATTTGCCATGGTTACACATTACAATTTTTAAACACATAGGTACCTAATCTAAAATAATTACACTAACGTCTTCGATCCCGCAGTTGCAAGTTCATAATGTGCTGTCGCCAGCAGTTTCGCCTAACCGATACCTATCTTCAAACGAAAATCATTAAAAAAGCTTAGATACCGTAAAACAGGGTGTATAGATATATATTGGGAAGTAATTCTACAATGTATTCAAACCTCAAATTCTATTTATCCCGTTATACCGTTACTCCTTTTTTAAAGTCCAGTTACACATTTCCACCTCTATCTTCTGGCGATGCAGGTGCCCACGAGGTACCACCAGGCTATCCATCGGGTCGCTTGACCCTACCTCATAAAAATTCAGATTAAGTTTTTATTGAACTCTGTATATTTATGTAAGATTATTTACTACTACTTAAGCCTGTACTACCTATGTTGCAGCTGTGTATTCCAATAAGAGTATAAAGCCGTGCGTATCGGCGCCGACATGCAGCGTCCATAGACATAGACCCCGACCGGCTCCCTGTCCACAGCCAGACAAATGTTACAAGAAATGTATCAAACAGAAACGAAAATGTCCCAGTGCTATGGACACCGTCAGCCGTGCAGGCATGCCATGCGAGTGCCTCAAAATACAATCTAAAGACTCAAGACGCGCCAATAAACGAACGAACAAGACGCACAAAAAAAGATTAAAAAAAGCTTACAAACAACGCTCAGCAGAATCCCGTTGGCGTAAAAAAAAGAAATGTTGCGAGATATTGTAAATAAGACAAACATACAAAATACTAAAAATAAAATATTAGTCTAGATCGCAGTTTTTTTTAACAGTTATAGGTAATATCTCGGTAGATACACCAACTGCCTCTCGACTTAGTCGTCTGAGCAAGTTTCGATTATCGAATTGGCACGCAGTTTACCTACAGTAGATCCTCTGTAAACTGCGTCGATCACGATACCGATCCTCTGGTATCGGGTACCTATGAAAAGGACCACATTGGATGCTCATGCTCATCAGTTAGATATGTATGGACGTGACATTTTGATAGGCAGTCACGCCACGGATAAGGGGGGTTTACGCGGTTTAGTTTTCAATAAATCTGTTGAACTCATTTTAATGAAACTTTATTCATAGAACAAATTTAATAATCCTATCTACTCACTGCCTGAACTCGTGCCGCGTAAACCCTCTTTTTTCTAACTTTTTCTACTTCTTTAAACATTATATGGGTAACGATAATCCACCTCGTAATTTTTTGTCAAAAGGTAGGTACCTACGTTATTCATCAAGGTCGAGGTCTTAAGGGTTCAATTTCCAGGTCAGGCGTTAATATCTCCGTCGTGTAGTCGAGGCTTACTTGACGGACAGATGCGTCATCTACCCCGGTCACCGGGGCGTGTGGAATCGGCGAGAGGTGTCGCGCGGTGTTCCACAGGGATCGGTCCTGCGACCTCTCCTGTGGAACATCGGGTACGATTGGGTGCTACGCACCGACCTGACGACACGCTGGTGCTGGCGAATGGGAGGTCACATCAGGCGGCGGCCGACCTGATGTCGCAAGCGGTCGCGACAGTCGTTGCAAGGATCCGGCAGTGTCTCGAGGTGGCGCTTCACAAATCCGAGGCCATGTGTTTTTATGGCCGTCGGAACGCGCCACCTCCAGATGGGTCCCAAATAATGGCAGGAGGAGTTACCATCGGCGTCGAGTCGGCGATGAAGTACCTGGGTCTCGTCCTCGACAGCCGATGGAACTTAGCGGAGCATTTTCGTCGTTTGGCTCCTAAGTTGGAACGGTCTGGGGCCGCGCTCAAGCGGCTCCTTCCCAAGCTCGGGGGGCCAAACGCCTACTGCCGGAGGTTGTATATGGGGATTGTGCGATCCATGGCCCTCTACGGTGCCCCTGTGTGGGCGCCGGATTTGAAGCGGCGGCCGGCTCGTACGCTGGTCGCGTCCCAGAGGGTCATGGCTA